ATTTTGAAGTATTTTGGGGGGTTTGATCGCATTTTTCGACCGAATTCGCTGAAATTCGGTACTTTGAGTTCTTATTGGGTAGCAAATCTCTATACTAAAAATTATAAATATAGGTCAATTTTTTCGGGTAGCCCCCATATAAGGGTACCCCCCAATTTTCGGTATTTTAGGGTTCTTGAGCGCGGTTTTCAACCAAATTCGCTGAAATTTGGTACATTGGGTTCTTATTGGGTACCAAGTTTCCCCACTAAAAATTATAAATATAGGTCCACTTTTTCCGGTAGCCCCCATATAAGGGTACCCCCAATTTTCGCTATTTTGAGGTTCTTGAGCACGTTTTTCAACCGAATTCCCTGAAATTTGGTATTTTGTAGTCGTATATGGTAACAAATTTCTCTACAAAAAATTATTAATATGCACCCCCTTTTTGGGGTAGTCCCCATATAACCCCCTATTTTTTATATTAAAATAGTTATGCAATCTGTTCCGCGTTTTGGGTTTGGTTCTAAGACTCTGTTGTAATCATATCACCTGCGGAGGATATCGAGATAAAAAACTAGAACGTAAGGTTCGATAATGAACTATATATGAACTATAACCCGTATTTAGACCTAGCCCCTGTGTGGGAGGTACCAGAAGGAGTGGGTCGATATTCCCCATCTTCAAACTTGAACAAAGTTTGGAAAAAATTATAAGATGGCCAAAGTTTGGATGAAATCAAAATTTTCTGAAACAAATTTGGTCCAAAGAAACATGGGGTCTAGAACCATTTTAACCGTGTAAAAGTGTATACACTCTCATTATCCATAAAGCTGAGGCTATAATTGTCCATTAAAAATTTCTGAAATTTGTTTTATAGTTTACATTGTAGTTTACATAACCGGTTTGTGGAAATGTCGATATAGGTCCATTCTTTGGTATTTTCCCTACATTTTCATTTCAAGCACCTGGCAGTATATCTATGGTGAAGGGTATCCAAAGTTCGGCGCGGCCGAACTTAACGTTTTTTCACTTGTTTCTCTTTTCGTTAGTCGTTTTTAGTGATGAATTCTCTTTTACGCTCGCCCAGACTTACTCTCAATTTGTTTATGCCCACCACTGACTTAAAGTTTAAGTCTTAAGTATTTAACCCTTAAAACAATTAGTTCCGCAAAGAAAATCGACCGAATCACAACGTTATTTTTTATTGCAAAAATTATTAACAACAAAATCATAAATATTAATATTTAATTAAATCAACAACAACAAAAACCAACTATTATACATAATGTTTTGTTTCAATCTCCATTGCTTCAGCTTATATTTGGTTCGGTTAATTGCAGCTGGATGTATTGCGGCTCTTGGATTATCATTGCGTGCTATAACCAATGCTCCGAATAAATCATTAAATGGTAAACAAAATTAAGAAAAACAACAAAATAGAAATTGAAATTGTAGTACTCAAAAAGATTACATTTAATGTGAACAAGCGGATAAATAAAAAGCTTCGTAGAAGAATGGACCGTATATAGTATATTGCTCGACATAAAGTGCAGTTAATATAAAACCTACATTAAATCGAATGATAATAAATACCTAAAACCTTCAAAATGTGAAACAATATAATTAGGAAGACTTTCTACCCAGTGAGAACACAAAACACGAAACTACAGCTGATTCATTTGAAAAACGTGGTGGCTACCCTAATATGTGGACCAATAGGGATGAAAATGTTACCTTTTTAAAAACAAAACTTCCTAAGAGTAGTAGCCAAAAGATGAATTTCAAGTACTCTACCGTGACGTAAGGAAGGGCAGATTGATGGACATGCGTGAATCGGCATAGAAATACTTACTAAGTTGGCTTGTGATAGAACATTTGTTCCATAAGCGCAGCTTGCTCCGAGATGTTGTCTTCCACTTCATCTTGCCATCGAATACGTGGCCTTCCCCTTCAACGTGATCCATCAGTTGGCTCGCTTCTATATGCCTTTTGAGCTGGGGCAACATCACCTATGTCGATGTCCGAGAATAGATAGTACAACTAATGGTTCATTCACGGCAATATTCTCTGTCACGCAGATCGGCCCATAGATCTTTCGGAGAATCTCTCAAACACTCCAAGAGCTGCCTCATATGTTTGTGCAAGTAACCATGCGAGAGGTGGTCTTGTCTCTGAATTGCTTATTTATACCATACTAGCATCTGTTGGCCAACATTATTCCCTCCGAATTTCAAAACTGATTTCATCGGTTTTATTAATGGCGGTACCTATGTATATAAAATCTTTGACTACCTCGAAGCTGTAGTTTTCGAGTTCCACAGTTGGTATTAGTCGACTGGACGTCTTGCGCATTCCTCTAGCCAAATTGTACTAATCAGCAGCAGGGATGGAAAATTCAGTACAATATTACTTTTTTCAGTACCTTTTACCCAAAAAAGTACCGTAGTACCCCCGTGACCATTTCAGTAAACCATCCTTCATTAAACCATGATATATATATTTTTATACCCTTCACCACACTGTGGTACAGGGTATTATGTCTTTGTGCATATGTTTGTAACAGGCAAAAGGAAACGAGATAGACACATGGTTCCTTTTGAGAATATGCATAGAATCACTTTTTAATTCGATTTATGCATGTCCGTCCGTCCGTCCATGTATTTTTGTTAACAAAGTACAGGTCGCATTTATGATCCGATTTGGATGAAATTTGGTACAGGTCACTTAATTGGCCCAAGGACGAACCCTATTGAAATTGGGAAAAATCGGTTCAGATTTAGATATAGCTCCCGTATATATTTTCATCCGATTTTATGTAAATGGTGCACCAATGTCCTTATATATCCTTTGATTTGCACGAAAATTGGCATAGCGTACTGAATTAAGCCTAGAAAGATGAGTGTTAAGTTTCGTGAAAATCGGATCAGATTTAGATATAGCTCCCATATACATTTTCGTCCGATTTTATGTAAATTGTGCACCAATGTCCCTATATCCTTCTGTTGGGATTCCATCTGTTGAATATACCCCGTCCGACTTTACTACTTTCCTTACTGGTTTTATAGATATGGTTGTCAGATACTCAATTTGGCTTACTTTGTGCTATCGCCTGAGGTAGGCAAATTGATGACATTCGTAGTCGTCGTGATTACTTCAATAATTTCAATAGCACTTTGCAACTGAAATTCATGTTAGTTTGTGGTATATTGGCTTTCGAGAAAGAGGTAGTGAAATTAAAATTAGTCAATGACATACATTTTCAAATGCAATCTAAAAAGCAAGAATTCTCATATTATTACCATCAGAAAGATACACTAAGTGATATCTTGAAAATCGATCTTTATGAAACTGAATATTTTTTTTGTATTTTCTTGAAAAAGTACTCTTTTATTAAAAAAAGTACTCTTTTGGTACCTTTTCACATTTTTCATTTTCCATCCCTGATCAGCAGGTGCATGCTCCTGACAAGCATCTGACCACCGGTCTTGAATAGTTTGGCTGTTAATCCAACTACACATGCTACTTTATTGTTCTTCAGCCGATTATTTGCTACTCTGGCCTCATCTTGGGTAGGTGGTATAAAATCTATACCGTCATCTCTTATTTGTTCTGGCGTATCTTCTTCGCCGTTATTATTTGATAACAGAAGCTTTTCAAAATGCTCGTTTTAGATCCTCAACACGTTATTTATACCTGTCACCAGGTTTCCTTCATCATCTCATTTCGATTGGATGTAATATATACCATAGGAGTCAGTACAGTACAGCACTATGGATGTTTGCGTGTACCCATAGGGCTGTACTGGAAGTATAATATATTTTTCCCCGTCTGCTTTCGCTGTTTCCTTAATTTATTTTCGTTTGCCTAGCTCATTTGTTGTTTGTATATTGTGTTGAATTAATTTAATATCAAATTATTTTCCGCACACAGGTGAAATGGACAATAATATTGCCTATGTGGTCGGTTTGGTGTTTGGTATTGGTTTCATTGGCAACCTTTTATTATTTATTGGAATATGGCTGGTATGTCAATCTATAAAAACAAAATAGCATTTCATACAATTTTTATTACATAAAATTTATAAAAATTCTCTTTATTTTAGAAACGACACCGTTTAATGGCAACAGCCGGTATTGTTATCAGTGCTTTTCTAATTATTCTAATTGTTCTAATTATTGTAATGATTGTGTCTTTAACTATTACCAACAAAAATTTCGCGGACACTTTGTTTTTAGTTGTGGCAGGTCTTGTATTAGTTGGTAAGTAACACAAACCCAATATTTCTTTGGATATAAAAAATAATTAATTGTTTTTTTTTTTAATTACAGTATTCATTATAGTATTATATTCTCCTATTTACATTCTGTATAAGAGATTATGCCTTCAAGAAAATAATCCTTCAGTAAAAAATGATAATGCCGTCAATACAAATTGTTTTTACATATCGGATCTGCCGGTTAATGGAGACACTCGGTCGTTAATGTGACCGTTTTAAAGCAGAACTATTAAAATCGAAATTATATAACTATTTAGTAAATATGTGACGAAAATAAAGTCGATCGGCGCTGAGTATGTGTCATCCTACAATAGTTTCTTTATTTGGTCATTTCTGTGGTGCTTCAAAAGACGTTATAAGTTCGTCATAGGTGTCGAAACTCTGGTGGGCGTATGAGCTGACTTCCAAAATGTCAGTTGCTTTGCATTCGAACAATGCCTACAGTTTCATAATGCAACAGTGTCACATATTTGCATTGCATACTATTTCCAAATGCTTAGACGCACAACAAGAACTATCTAAACAAAAGAAAGATGTCATTTTCCCAAATATAAGTATAATTTTAGTAAAATAATTAGGGGAGAGGGGGGCACCTTTGAACACTTTTTTCTTTCAGACTTCATAAAATTTTTTATTTTATAATTTTTGGTTTCTTATAAGTTTTAACTAATATGTACGTATGTTACCTTTACAATGAATATACATATGGCATACTTTAAGCTTGATATACATATTTTATTACTGTTTTCATGGACGAAGTCATAGTGTTCAAAACTGCCCCCCCCCCAGGTTTGGCTTTTTTAAACGACATGGTTTTTATACCCTTTAAGGAAACTTCCATACTTTGAAAGCTTCTACTGAAAAACTCACTTTTCAGACTTAGCATACTATGGTTCGGAGGCGTCGATATGTCAACATAGGCGTTGTCTGTCTGTCCATGTTAAATTGTAAACAAAGTACAGGTCGCATTTATGATCCGAATTGGATGAAATTTGGCACAGCTCATTTGTTTGGCCCAGGGGCGAACCCCATTGAAATTGGGAAAAATCGGTTCAGATTTAGATATAGCTCCCATATATATTTTCGTCCGATTTAAGGTAAATGGGGCACCAAAGTTCTTAAATATCTTTCGATTTGTACGAAATTTGGTATAGCCTACTGAATTAGGTCTAGAATGATGTGTGCTAATTTTCGAGAAAATCGGTTCAGATTTAGATATAGCTCCCATATATAGTTTCGCCCGATTTTAAGTAAATGGTGCACCAAAGTCCCTGAAAATCATTTGATTGCCACGAATTTTGGCACAGCGTATTCAATTAAGTCTTGAATGACGTGTGCTAAGTTTCGTGAAAATCGGTTCAGATCTAGATATAGCTCCCATATATAGCTTCGCCCGATTTAAGGTATATGGTGTACCAAAGTCCCTATATATCTATCGATTTGCACAAAATTTGTATAGCCTACTGAATTAGGTCTAGAATGATGTGTGCTAAGTTTCGTGAAAATCGGTTTAGATTTACAAATAGCTCCCATATATAGTTTCGCCCGATTTTAGGTAAATGGTGCACCAAAGTCCCTGCTAATCTTTTGATTGGCATTAATTTTGGTATAGCCTATTGAATTAAATATAGAATTATGTGTGCTAAGTTTCGTGAAAATCGGTTCAGATTTAGATATAGCTTCCATACATAGTTTCGCCCGATTTTAGGTAAATGGTGCACCAAAGTCTCTGAAAATCATTCTTTTTGCGCGAATTTTGGCATAGCGTATTGACTTAAGTCTAGAATGATGTGTACACCTCTTATATATATTTTCGTCCGATTTTAAGAAAATTGTGCACTAAAGATCCACACTGAAATTACTGAAATTAATATAAATTAATCTTTGGCAAGTTTGCTTCAAATCGGTTCAGATATAGATATATCGTAGCTTCCATATATAATTTCGACTTATTTATGTTAATTGTACACAAAATAATCAATAGGTGTCTGATTGAGATTAAATTTTAAACAGTGCAGCATACCGAATAGCGTGTGTCAAGTTTGCTTTAAAGCGATTTACACAAATCTGTCCCACTGTGCGCAAACGATTCTAAACTTGCCCAAATGAAATGAAAATTAGCATAGGTTCCAGAAAGACATGAACATCATATATTTAAGTCCGTTCAATTTCATGTCAAAATTCCTTCAAAAAGGCGACGTCTTTTCGGATACATATCGACGCCTCCGAACCATAGTATGCTATGTCGACTTAGCATGTTTTAAAGTTCTTTACGTTTTTAGATACTACGGTCCTTAATTTACATTCACTGAAATTTTGGTAAACATCGGCCAATCTAAACCAAAGTTATAAGCAAAAATGTACTTAGAATGGCACGTACGATTAAAGAAACTTCCATACTTTGAAAGCTTCTATTGAAAAACTCACTTTTCAGACTTAGCATACTATGGTTCGGAGGCGTCGATATGTAGAATATACCCAAAGTGGTGAAGGGTATCATATAGTCGGCCCAATCCGACTTTACTACTTTCCTTACTGGTTTACAGTGTTTATGTTCAAATATGTATGTATTTTATTCATAGATATCAGAAATACATTTATTTATTAACAAATATATACAAAAAGTTTCGAAAATTAAAAAATTCAAATCAAAATTTAGTAAAACATAAAATGACTTAAAAACAAAAATTAATATGGTGAAAAATACAGTTAATTTCGTAATCTTATTAGCCCATTTGAAATTTTGAGAAATCGAAGCCAAAAGTTAAAAACTCCGTTTTTTACCGGAGTTTATTGGGCATGTTCAAAAGGTGCCCCACCTGTGGAATTTTACGGAAATTTATAATATTTTTTGTAGAAAATACATTAGTTATGTTTGAAATGATTGTTGGAATGCAAAAAAATTCTTTAACGAAAGAAAACGATCACCGAATTCTCTCTGCGCCCTTACAACCAAAAAATTAAAAGTTTACAATGTTACTTCGAAAACATGGTCACCCATGTACATTTTGTCGACAACTCAAAACCAGTAAGGAAAGTAGTAAAGTCGGGCTGGGCCGACTATATGATACCCTTCACCACTTTGGGTATATTCTACATATGTATCCAGCTTAGCAACATCATTTTAGACTTAATTCAGTACTTCAGTAGTGTTGGCGGTTTATTTGGGATACCATTTGTATTTTGTTTTTATAAAAAAGAACTATTTATTAGTGAGGAATGTATGGCATTGATTGCCGAGGTGTAAGGCAGGGAAGACTATAGTTTCGGATCACGCCACTGATCCTCATCAGTTCCCTTAGTTTTCTGTTGGGATATTCTCCCCAGAAGCTATTGCTTCTATACAAAAAACCTTTCAAACCCAAATGTCTCTTGTAACAACGCGAAGTACTTAGCTGACCAACGTACCCTATACCAAAATTCGTGCAAATCGAAAGATATATAGGGACTTTGGTGCACCAATTACATAAAATCGGACGAAAATATATATGGGAGCTATATCTAAATCTGAACCGATTTTCACGAAACTTTGCAACATCATTCAAGACTTAATTCAGTACGCTATGCCAAAATTCGTGCAAATGAAAAGATTTCCAGGGACTTTGGTGCACCAATTACCTACAATCGGGCGAAAATATATATGGGAGCTATATCTAAATCTGAACCGATTTTCATGAAACTTAGCACAAATTATTACAGTTTCAAATGTCAGTACTCTATGCCCAATTTCGTGCAAATCGAAAGATATATAGGGTCTTTGGTACACCAATTACCTTAAATCGGATGAAAATATATATGGGAGCTACATCTAAATCTGGACCGATTGTCACGAAACTTTGCTCACATCATTCTAGACTTAATTCAGTACGCTATACAAAAAGATTTCCAGGGACTTTAGTGGACTATTTACCTAAAATCGGGCGAAGCTATATATGGGAGCTAAATCTAAATTTGTACTGATTGCCACGAAACTTTGCACACATCATTCTAAACTTAATTTAGTACGCTATGCCAAATTTCGTGCAAATCGAAAGATATATAGGAACTTTTGTACACAATTTACCTTAAATCGGACGAAAATATATATGGAAGCTCTATCTGAATCTGAACCGATTTTCACGAAAATTAGCATACATCATTCTAGACCTCATTCATTACGCTGTGCCAAATTTCGTGCAAATCGAAAGATATATAGGGGCTTTGGTACACAATTTACCTTAAATCGGACGAAGATATATATGGGAGCTATATCTAAATCTGAACCGATTTTCACGAAACTTGGCATACATCAGTCTAGACCTTATTCATTACGCTGTGCCAAATTTCGTGCAAATCGAAAGATATATAGGGGCTTTGGTACACAATTTACCTTAAATCGGACGAAGATATATATGGGAGCTATATCTAAATCTGAACCGATTTTTATGAAATTTTACACACATCATTCTAGACCTAATTCATTACGCTGTGCCAATTTTCGTGCAAATCGAATGGTATATAGGGACTTTGGTACACCATTTACCTTAAATCGGACGAAGATATATATGGGAGCTATATATAAATCTGAACCGATTTTCGCGAAACTTGGCATACATCATTACGCTGTGCCAAATTTCGTGCAAATCGAAAGATATATAGGGACTTTGGTACACAATTTACCTTAAATCGGACGAAGATATATATGGGAGCTATATCTAAATCTGAACCGATTTTTATGAAATTTTACACACATCATTCTAGACCTAATTCATTACGGTGTGCCAATTTTCGTGCAAATCTAATGGTATATAGGGACTTTGGTACACCATTTACCTTAAATCGGACGAAGATATATATGGAAGCTATATCTGAATCTGAACCGATTTTCACGAAACTTAGCATACATCATTCTAGACCTCATTCATTACGCAGTGCCAAATTTCGTGCAAATCGAAAGATATATAGGGACTTTTGTACAAAATTTACCTTAAATCGTACGAAGATATATATGGGAGCGATATCTAAATCTGAACCGATTTTCACGAAACTTGGCATACATCATTCTAGACCTTATTCATTACGCTGTGCCAAATTTCGTGCAAATCGAAAGATATATAGGGGCTTTGGTACACAATTTACCTTAAATCGGACGAAGATATATATGGGAGCTATATCTAAATCTGAACCGATTTTCACGAAACTTGGCATACATCATTCTAGACCTTATTCATTACGCTGTGCCAAATTTCGTGCAAATCGAAAGATATATAGGGGCTTTGGTACACCATTTACCTTAAATCGGACGAATATATATATATGGGAGCTATATCTAAATCTGATCCGATTTTTATGAAATTTTACACACATCATTCTAGACCTAATTCATTACGCTGTGCCAAATTTCGTGCAAATCGAATGGTATATAGGGACTTTGGTACACCATTTACCTTAAATCGGGCGAAGATATATATGGGAGCTATATCTAAATCTGAACCGATTTTTATGAAATTTTACACACATCATTTTAGACCTAATTCATTACGCTGTGCCAATTTTCGTGCAAATCGAAAGATATATAGGGACCATTTACATTAAATCGGACGAAAATATATATGGGAGCTATATCTAAATCTGAACCGATTTTTCCCAATTTCAATAGGGTTCGTCCTTGGGCCAAACAAATGAGCTGTGCCAAATTTCATCCAATTCGGATCATAAATGCGACCTGTACTTTGTTTACAATTTTACATCTACAGACGGACAGACGGACAGACGGACGGACGG